TTAATCAATGGTTTCAATCTTGGATTCTCATGAGCCCATACAATAATTCTACCAGAGACGAGTCTATTAAATGTTCTTAGTATATTTAAATGTAATGGAAAAGGGGGAACGGTTAAAAAACTAACAGCTGTATCAAATGTCTTGTTTTTTGAGCAGCGGTTTGCATGCAGAAAGCACACACAAAAATCCCCTTCGATTTTACACAGCAAGTTCTATATAAACAACAACTGCTGATTCGTCATCTGGAATAACCGGTAAAGTATACATTATAGAATGGACTGATTGGCCGAAACGTCCTGATCTTACAAACACAGAGTTTCTGGGAAACAGGGTTGGTCTCCTACAGAGGGATTATGTGATCAGCGTGATGACGTCTTCAGGAATGGGAATTGGGCGCAGGTCTTTGTGCTAGACGGCTTCAATCTCCGGACAAAAAGGTTAAGACCTTACCCCTCCCCAATTGTAACCCATAAACTACGTAGTGCAACAACCCCCCTCCCCCCTCAATATACTCAAGTGATCACGGGTCTTGTGTGAACAAGGACAACGAGCAACTCACTGGATCCTATATGGTTTTTATGGTTGTCCCAATGCTATTTTCTACTCATAGGGAGTAAACAGATATATTGCGTCTGATCGATTAGCCACACCCACCAACCAATTGTCCACCCCCTAGTTTTGGGACGAGGCGTAAACTAAGTAGAATGTACCTTTTATGGTAATTGTTATCTAACTAAGTTCGAATCCGGGTTCAAGTCAGTAGACCGTCCCTGAGTCCACCCAACACTGATGGGTACCTAACTCACATTAGGGAAAGTAAAGGCGGCTGGGCATAGTGCTGACCACACTATCTCTTCATATGCCGAGGTCACAGAAACAAGTGAACTACTTCACTTTCCCTATAGACCGTTTTTTTTTACTTATTATGACCACACATTTTAACTTTTTTCTTAGATATAAGTACGGCCTTTTAGCTTAAACTAGGTTGTCTGTACAAAACAAAACGTTCAATGCCTTGCCAACCCGCCCCTTGACTAATGTAAACCAGCATACACCAATAATTACTACACAACCGTTACTAACTAAGACACAAGTTACGGTTCGCGGTATGTCTTAAGTTAAAAAAAAACAAATTCAAACCAAGATGCCAACAGATTGTGTGCTGTCGACTCGCTCACCGTGTACAACACACGATATGTAATAGTGTCAACCTGATGGGTTACAAAGCTAACAAGCTGGGAGCTGCTTTAGCTGTTTGGTAAACATGTCTACTCGTGTAAGCCCTAACCATACGCCAGCATCAGCGGCAGGAAGTGTTGCCATGGAAGCTTTCTACGCTCAGACAACATTTCTCAGCACATAATTATTGATGGAAATGGCTTCTTAAGTCAACTACCTGTCTATGTATTTATGTATATATGTATGTATGTGTATGTATGTATATGTGTATGTATTGTATGTATTGTATGTATGTATTGTATGTATTGTATGTATTGTATGTATTGTATGTATGTATGTATTGTATGTATGTATTGTATGTATGTATTGTATGTATGTATGTATGTATGTATGTATGTATGTATGTATGTATGTATGTATGTATGTATGTATGTATCCATCTATATACATATACACGTAACGAGCTGTTTCGTATAAAAATTGAGGTGTGAAACGCAAACAGACACCTGCGAGTATGACCGAAGTATGCTTTGACCGCATTAGGAACCGGAGGTAAAAGGTGAGAACGAAGTAAAGGTAAAGTCGGGCTTGTACAAAGTTCACCTAACAACTACAAATGAAGTGGGCTTGGACGAAAATAGTAATAACAACTATAAACAAAAAAAAAAAAAAGGATTGCATAAAGATCATCATTAGAAGAAATACAGAACCATATAATTTTTTTTTCTTTTTTTCTCGAAAAAAAAAACACAACAAACACAAACGTTTAAAAGAGAATATTGTCATTTAAAACAATGTATGTAACATTAGACGATGTAGCAGTAAGATAGAAATAATAAGCTCTTGCAACACACCATGTAACAAAAGAAGAGGCGGGCTATGGGGGGGGGGGGGGGGGGTGGAATAGAAACATCTACGTATACATTTTTTTGCTGGAAATAACGTACATAGTAAACTCAGCGTTCAGCGATAATTACCTTCTATACTACAACATACATTAACGAAGCTTTACACGAACAGATCAGACCATCAAAATATTCTAATACAAGCCTATATTTATAGTATTTAAACACGTGCAACCAAAGACTTAAATTTATAGTATTTTAACACGTGATACCAAAGACTAACGATCATTCAAGCAGAAGTGGCACAAGTAGCTCTGCCACCCTTTCCCACTATCTCCGAAATGCATAAAAACAAAAAAAAAAACAAAAAAACAAAGAAGGAACTAATTTTTTTTTTTACAGGGGAGCCTAAGAATTAATAATCGAAGTTGAAACGATCATTTCAACCCAGTTCATATGGGTACCTAATTCAAGTCATACAGACTACCACACACTATCAGGGGTGTACTGTGTTCTATTCAGTCTGCCCCGTTCGATGTAGGCGCATCAGAAACGTACTTCGTAATCTAGCTCAATTGAGATTTGGTGTTCAAACTTTCATCAAAATGCATAACTAGCCTCGTAAACAACGTTTTTTATCAAGGTAAAATTACTCAATCCTGCGCCAGTCACGATTTGTTTGTTTTTATAAAAATGTGAGAGATAACATTCGTGCAAAGCGTATTCATGTATACATGTGTAGAATTACTACCTGCATCAAGTTAAGGGTGTATATGCCGAACCATACAACACACACAAAACTAGGCTTCACAGATTTACACAAATCCACGTGTTTTTTTGTGTGGTTAGAATTATACATAGAGATTGTGAGAGAGTGGGGGTGGTGATATATCGATCTTACGTAAAAGCCAGGCACTTTTTCATATCGAATTCATGTAGGAATACTAAAGCTGTCTGCTAGAAAACGAGATGTAGGAATGTTGCAACTGTGATATACATGTTATAGAAAAAAAATAGGCCACATCTTTATTTCAGTACAAATAGCAACAACAAAAATAAAAAAAATATGATAACTTGTATTAGTAAGGGGATTGATACTTTAATCATAATAAACTATCCCCGCAAACACCGGTCAGGTTTCAAAACAACGTCAAATTCCATCGAGCAGAAATGAACAAAGAGACCAGCAGACGACAAGACACTATGGATGGCCACCCTAACGTTTAGCACGTGAAGCGACATTTCCACCGTCTTCAAACGTCAGCAAACTGCTTACGATGACTCAACTATCTGCTGTTTCACAGAACGCAAAAATATCGCCATTGTTCTCTGTACAGGGTTCATGGGGAGGGGAGGCGGGGTCACGGCTACGAGTTTCTCTTCGATAACCACATCACAGGAAGCACGAATGGCAACGGGAATTATGTTTTCGCAAAAAAAAATATAATAATAATAATAAAAACAACAACAATAAAGAAAGTAAACAAACTATTTAAAAAAATCTATTAAAAATGATAAAATATAGTACTTTTACACTTTGCATACATATTAAACAAGTTCCAAAATTATAAACCCCCGTGTCGTGCCAGAAATGTTGTCAAGTACTGACCTAAAAAAAAGAATACCACCACAACATGGCCATGCTTCTAATAATAGAACAGCGTAATCATGAGCTTCCCAGTGAGGAACGACCTTTAACCTATACAAACAACAACGCACAGTTTCCAAGCCGTTCCCTGACACAACAAAGTAGTTGCTTAATAAACAGTTAGTACTTCAAATGCTGGGCACAAATGTTGCCTGGAAAACATTGGGGACAACATACCGCTAATACAATAGTTAATTTATCTCATTCAGTGATAATTAAGTAGCTTATAGAAACCACGTAAATTTTGAAAATGTAAATAAACAAAATAATACATTGGTCCTAAGTAAGACTGAACACTAGAAAATCTACTTATAAATCTTGTTTTTTTAACCTATACTATATTTACCTACTTCTAATTAAATAATATAATTTACTAAAAAAAATCATATTAATGATTTGTTTAATATTATGAAAGGTAAAAGTTAAATCATTGAACCATTATAAAGAGAAGTACTAAACTGGTCGAAACCCTGTGGTTATAGGGCCTACATAAAATAATATTTCAATTCTAACCAGAAAGTCTAAACAAAGTTATAATATGTATGCTGATAAGGGAAACTAAAGCATCAGTAGTACAATTACATTCAACACGCTGGTTTCATGAGTTGACCTGAACTTTCTTCAACATAAGCTTTTGATAGCCAAATATGTAAGTCCATACTCAAAGTATCTTCATCATTAAATAAGACAAAAACACTTTTCTAAATATATAAGTAAAAAGATCTAAGATTGATTTATCTGTTGAAGCTAGATAATAGGGTGGATGCAAAACAGATACTACTGTTACTAAAGGACATATAATTAATAAATGTATTGACAACACCATAACTCTAGCTGCCTTAGAACTCCCCTCACATCAGATTTTAATAATTCCTCAGGAAAATGATACATGAAAAATGTACACAAGTAAGACTAAAGAATAACACAAGACTTCCTACAGTGGCTACAGCGCAATTAAGTAGTAGCATCCACCAAAGAACAATCTGCGAGGCAGAAGTTGTTTCATCTGAGGTAGGTTGCTGTTGTCAGCAAACTAGCCTCATCTGTTCGAGTGTCAGGAACAGTGTTCCCTCTAAGCTGCACTGTTGTGCTGCCGCGCAGTAGTTTTGAGCTGCTGTGCAGTGATTTTGTAAAATACTTCTATCCTTGTATAAGACTTTTAGAACACCGTGCACACAAAATACATGTTGCACACTAACTTTTTTCCCTTAGAGGGAACATTGGTCAGGACTCTGGGCTTTTAGAGTCAGCAATCAGATTTTCTCCAGCCCATGCAGGTTGTAAACAATTATGCTACCACACCTCTAAAAACATATTTTAAGAATTACCTTATAAACCTGTCCGTAAGTTCCATTTCCAACTGCCTCAATTAAATCAAATATTCCAGCTGGATCCTGAAATAAAGCAGTATACAATGATTAGGCTATTATTATTTTAATTTCAAATAATGTGTATTCTACAAATTAGTGCGTGTTATAGCTAGAGAATTATGGTTTTAAAACTCAGATGTAATACATAATAAAATATGTTGATGCTTCTTTTTCTTTGTCTTTATACATTACACTGCTCTGAAACCAGCAGTGCAACATAATGCTACAAATCAGCAATTTTAATAGACAGCATCAGTAAAGGTTTCATATTGTTTTTCTTGTAAACTACATTAAAAGAAAAGCCTATTTTTAACATTTTCTTGATTTTAATCAGCAAAATTCAACTGTAACAAAATAATAATACAAAACTGCACAATGAGAATGTGAGTCGTAAACCAGAAATGAGAAATGAATGCCAGAGAATTACAAATTACTCCCTCTCAAACGCAGCATTTAGATTGTTTGTAGATCTCTGACATTTTTACTTTTCCTATCAAAAACATTGCATCATCACTAGCTTACTTCTATTTTTACTCTGATATTTATATACCTGTGTCTGACGTTGTGATTATGTCTCAAGATAGAAGTGTAATGACACTAGAAATAAAATTATGCATTTATGTTACACTCACTCACATATTAATCAGTGACCCTATCCTAAAATGTTTTGATATATTTTTTAATAGCAACAGCAACAAAGTGACACAAAAGGACAACTTGTAATATTTTAAATTGAGAATGTGTGGCACAAGTACGTAGGAAAAATTAAAAAGTAGCTAGGCAAACCTGGGTTAGTATTAAGTCAGAAATAAACCTAACAATAATATCTAGATCAACTTTGAATGATTGAATCTATTTCAGCGTAGGCCTATTTGTTATTGTCAGTGTCAGATAATGTTACAATAATAGAGTCTTCTTAAAAAGGGGTGTTAGGTTACTGGTAGTTAAATAAAAATATGACTTGCTGCTAATGTCAAAGTCAATTCTATCCCTAACTCTTCTCTTACCATACACATAATCTTAATTTCTAACCATTTGAGATTACTAGCAACATAATATTAAAGGCACACCTATTTTCAGAAGAGTCCAGCATACTCAATCAATACTCCTATCATAATCATCTTCTATGTCTATTTCTTTTGAACTAAACCAGAAAATGGTGAGCTTCAGCTTACTCTTTATTAGTAGTTAGAATTTAGCATAATAGTTATTAGATCTAGAAAAATAATCTAGATCATCTAGATCTAGTTGATTAGGTAGCTTAGGTCTACATCTAGAGTTACCAGATAATATCATAATAATAGTATTAATAGTTAATAGGTAGGCCTACAAGTTGTTTTCTTTTTAAATTAGGGCCTACTAAATTTAACAAAATTACTAAATTAGGCACTGCATCAGGCTACACAACAAATTATGAATATTAGGCCTATATTTTAGATCTAAAATCTAGAAAGATGAATCATAATGATGAATGATGCCTACAGACACAGACTACACTCAGGATGCCAGAGTAAGAACTAAGAATGAACTAGAGAATCTAAACCTAGATCTAGATCTAGAGTCTAGATCTCTAGATCTAGATAAATCTAGATGTAGGATCTAGATTCTAGATCTAGTATTAGATGTAGATCTAGATTCTACAGATCTAGATTCTAGATCTAGACTCTACATCTAGACTAGATCTAGAATCTAGATCTAGATCTAGATCTAGCAAGTGAGCTGCAAATGTCTTGAACTTGATTGGAGACTCAGACTTGTTTTTTTAAGGCGAAAGTCGACAATCTTAGTTATTGCCTTCACCTTAAATATTTGACTAGTGCCATTAAACATACCATTCTAGCTTGCTCAAAGTGTTTATTTATTTTAAAGTTTCATTTACTTGTATTTAAACAATATTTACTCACCCTGAGACTGGCAAGATCAATGTCGTCTAGACTAACGTTTACTGATGCGGCAGTCGCCATTTTTTGCAGGCCCTGCTCATTTGAATACCGCTTCCGCGATAGTTAGCTGTTTTTAATCCGACACAACTTTCTAAACACAAACTCCAAAAAGAAAAAAATAATTCTTCACTCTTGTCAAAAACAAAGACTTATCGTACAAAATTTTGTGAAATTTAGAAAGTATCTCATAACTGTATAAACTCGCATCGAAAAGGCTGTATTTACAATTCAATGTAGTGTGTAGTGTAGGCTAGTGTTATCCACCAAGAAGGGATAGGTGAATAAAGCGATTTGCATTGTGGGTAAGGGCTACAACTCCTGCTAGATCTACCACAAATTATAACGGGCTATTATTATTTCGTTTTATTTTATAACGGAACAGTTATGAACTTAGTGATGGGATGGGAGGGGGAAGGTTGAAGGGAATCTAATATAAACATTAATTTAAATTAAATTATTGATAATAACTGTAGTAACCACTTTAAAAACACATAGTAAGAAGGAAACACCGTATCATCACAGATTTCTATAATTAAGTAATTTAAAAAACGATTCTTTACGTAGGTTTATAGTCTTTTGCCTGGATGGTTGAATCTTAGCAATGTATGAGTCATTTCCCATATGATAAAAGTATAAGTTATACGGGCTACTAGATCTAGATCTTCTTAAGTTAACAAATTGTAATATGATTTACATAGAGTTAAACTAGTCTAATAGACCAATATTTAAATATAGCATACAGTAGGTCTATATATTATATGATTGAAAACAATGTTCGCGATTACTTATACAATTAATATTCGTGGCATAATTTAGCGGCAGTACTAGCCCGCTAACACTATCACTCCTTTTTTTTTTTGTATTAATCACAATATAAACGGAAATTACTAATACTAAGTGTCAGAACATCGCATATAGACTCTAGTTTATATAGCCTACAGCCAAGTCATTAGGCCAGGCTTAGATTATAATGAAAATATGAAGCAACGCAGTTAAACTTCTAACAGTAAAAAAAAAAAACTAATTAGAATGCAGTTATTTTACAAAAATACTGCTCTGTTTTTCATATATAGGCTAATCTAAATTTAGGCGTGTATTTTTTTGTTTTAAAATATAAAATAAAAAATAATGGACTAGACCTAATATGCGAGTGATGTAGCATTTAATCGTAATAACGGTTACTTATAGGCCTAATTAGTAATTATGGCTCTTAACAATATCAAATGTAATTACCACCCACATTTATAGAAGCAACGTTAATTAGCGTATTTAGGCCTAGTGGGAATTTAATTAATCTTAAGTTATTTCTAATTCCATGTATTTATTTATTTTATCTATTTTTATCTATAAATTTGCTCTACCCACTACTAAAATGTAATACATTCGTGTAGTCTTTATCATTTGTGTTCATCTTGCATTTTAATAGTTCATTTTTATAATTATTATTGTGATAGAGATAGAAATAATTAGAAAGATTGATTCAGTAATTATAATTTGTCAAATTTAAAGAACGATAATAAGTTAATCAGATTAGTCAGTATCCAGATAAGTAGCTTCCCTTTAACAAGTAACAAAAAAAAATGCTTTGTAGTGAAAGATCATTTCGATGGTGATAGGAATAGGAGCGTATTTTAGAAAAAATAAATAAATAAATAACAAAACAACTTGTTGGACTGGATGTTCAACTTTAGAATGAACGTGTTTTAAGCACGTTAATTTCCTGTAAATAAAAATACACAACGTTTTGTATTCAACATTAGAAAAAAATATATAGGATTTATCATATGGTACAGGGAATGTAACGGTATCAAACGTAGTTCATTCTAAAGTGGAACAAGCAGTCCACCATTTTGTAGCCAAACATTTTGGCCCATGAATCGACATTAATTTAACGCTACTATATTTATTTATTTTCATTTTATAAAGACCTACAAAAGAAGAAAACTCCACACGGAGCAGACTACCAATGTCGGCTGTTTCGATCCGACATCACCCCCCCCCCTCCCTTTTCACATGTAGCACATATTATGGGGAAATAATCGATGGTCCGTTACCAATAGGCTACGGTTGTTAATAACAATAGGATTTCAGACTCGATAATCAGAAGTTCTGACAATTGTTATTGTAAATATAGTCTGCAGAGGCGTAGCGAGGGCGGCATGGGGGGGGGGGGGGGGGGGGGGTACGGACTGCACCGGGTGACACCATTTACGGGGGTGACACCAAGGCAAAAAATAGCAAAATATATAGAGAAAAACTTGAAGGGGGGGGATGCAAATCGAAAGTTTGAGGGGGGGGGGGGCAAATCGAAAATCTGAAAGTTTGTCCCGGGAAGGGTCACTACGCCTCTGGGGGGGGGGGGGGGTGACACCATTAAGTGCCGCACCGGGTGACACCCGACCTCGCTACGCCACTGATAGTATGTAATATTGAGTACCATTATAATTCCCCTGGAATAACATAAAGAAGGAAATCTGTGGCATCCAAAGGTGGGGGCGGGATGCTGTACGCACCGGGTGACACCATTTATAAAAGGGGTGACACCAAATTTTTAAAAATCTGAATACATACCGTCAAAATAATGTTACATCCAGTAAAAATAACAAAATAGTAGGGCTAAGGGGGTTAAATCAAAATACAAAACAGTTGTAGGAATTGGGAGCAATGGCGTAGGCAGGGGGGGAGCGGTGGAGGGGGTTACAACCCCCCACCCCCATGGACCCCTTTGAATTTTTTTTACTGTCATAATACCACTGTTACTTATTTAAATCAATTTCTGGATAAGTATGTATGCATAATTGTATATGTATGTCTCGATCAGTCAAAAAAAAACTGAAGCTATGTTCACTCTGACCATTCTGACCTGTACCTGTACGCTATCGTCATCGCCATCTGTACCCGTTCGTGCCCAAGACACAATTGTAGGTGAAGCAGAGTTCGTTTGTTTCAATGTACCTCGGCAAATGAAGGGATAGTGAGGTTAGCACTATGCCCATCCGCCTTTGTTTCTCCTACCCGTAAGTCAGGTGGGTGAGTTGGGCGAACTCGAGGTCGGGTCCAAATCTAAACTTTCGGGTTACCAGTCGTGAGCTCTACCACCAGACCAACCCTAAAGTCGTAGTTTTACAAAGGATTTACAAAATCCACCGCACTTCTATGAAAATTCCCCCCCCCCCCCCAAAAATAAATAAATAATAATTAATAATCAAGCAGTGACGCAATTCGTTAACATAAAAACCGTGCTAATTAAAATATACGATATTCACGTGACCTTAAAAAGAATTACTTGACACATCTTCATTAGAAATACACGCAAAGCGTAATGCTTTTCATCTAGGTCTATATAAAGAATAAAGAATGTGTAGACCAATTATGTTAAGGCAAATTTATTCATACAACATAGAGAAATAGAGAACAGGTCTATGTTGAATCAGTGTTTGTTTTTTACTTTTAGTTCTCGGGAGGGGGGGGGGGGGCAAAAAAACACCGTGTAGAAACGAAATTGCTTTAAAAAATTGCCGCCTATACCACTTCCAATACCGCCCTACTCCATTTGTATTATAGGCATATAGTAGGCCTATGTAAATAATAATGTTAAACTAGGCCTAACCGTAAAAGTAAATAAACAATTCTACAAGACAAATCATAATACTATGCATGCAAATACAATACACATGTTAAGTAGATCTATGGTCTATTAATTTCAATTCTTTGGTCTAAATTTATCTCCGTGTTATGACTGTTTTAAAATAACTGATTTCCTGGAACGCTTGTTTCGTTTTCAATCGGACACAGCTTTGTTTATTTTAGCTCGCTTCTTTTCATACCTAGGTGGGTTATGTGGAAAAGGAAGACACATTTTTAATTTGTAATTATATTGTAAGTATTAAGATCTTTCTTTTACTATCAATGATAGTATTGATAGACATCATCTCAGTTACAAAAAATTATACGTTTCAGCTGTATTTTAAACACACCATATGGGAATAGTTTTGGGTGCCCATTGACTTAGTTGTCAAGAAGTAGGCTAAGAGTAAGATGTTTTGTGCCAGATTTTTTTAACAAGCAAAGCTACGAAGTTTAAGCTAGGCTGGATGTTCGAGTTTTAAAATCTAGTGCTTGTTCTAACTTGGCCAAATACTATTTTAATAATATTATACTTTTTAAATCAGTCTGTTTCGAATATAACGTAGAATTAGCTTGTTAAGAAGATTAGTCCTAGTTAAAGAATGTTTGGCTTTTATATTCAGATGACGTCAAGTTTAGAATAAATCAATAATTGATTTTGTTTTGCGTAGACCTAGATCTAGATCTCTACCTAACTTTTGATTTAGATAATATTATAGGCCTAGTATATAGATAGGTAAATTAGGCCTATTATGAAGTACATTAAAATTTGGCCTTCATATAGGGCATTATAGGCCTATACCCAGAGAACTGTCCAGCTAAAAAATAATTACAATGAGCGAATTAATAATTAGCCATTCTTCTGGTGATGTTAATCTACCCAATAGGGCTACACTACTAGCACTACACTATCAATCTGACCTAGTTTGAGTGGAGTAATTTTTACTAAATCAAGAACTAGATCTAAATTGTATTGTAAAAGACTATCATAAAATAACTAGTGAGATAGGCCTATATACTATGATTTAATTTGGATGTAACAGTATACAAACTATGGCTGTAGATAATTAAAGTAGGAAACTATTTGAATTTTCAAACCCATTTTTAAAGTTCATGTCTGCTCCATTTAGAATTTAGGCCTTTTCTGAACTCAGGAATACTTCATAAAAGACAGTTTCAAGTCTGAATAATATTCTGAGAATATGATTAAGTCATTTAAAAAAACAAACAAAAAAAACTAGAAAATGAATGGTACATTTTTATGGTTTAATACTAGCACTTATTGGCTATCTGAAAAACTTCTTACATACTACATTCTTAGAGCATTTATTGTACTAATTTTAGGCCTATTAATAACCTCATATATAATATTTTACATACTTATTTTATATACATGCATTCCAGAAAATTTTATAAAAGTTGTAAAAATAAACCATCCTTAATTTTTTTTCAGAAATTTATACACAATACCATACTAGCCCAAGGAGACTACCTGATAGTAGACAATGATGATTTTATGTGTAGCCTTACTAATTCAAGGACTATTATAGTTTAAAAAAAAAATAAGCTGCCAAGTAACCACATTAATAAATAAATGTTGTAAAATGTAACACTAAAGCTGATATGAAAAGGTGTGTAAAAATTAACTTG